TCACCAGCATCCGACCCACCCTCCGAGCTACCCTCCTCTGTCCACCCTCTCCACCCTCCCTTGCCTGCGCCGCCCTTCCCCGCACCTCTGGTGGTCCCCTTGCTTGCACCCCTGCCCCGGCCTGCACCCTTGTTCCCCTTCTGCCGTTTATGTCCAACATTGCGCCCCGACCTCGCACCCATCGTCGTCATCACCGCCACCCCGCCTGCGCTTGCCAGCTGCACCCTTAGCCGCTCTTGGCACCTCGCCAACCCACTCGTAAGGTAATGCAGTTTCGTTTATGTTGCTGGGCTTTGGAGGCAAACAGAGCATGAAGGGGCAAGTACCATGTCCCCAGGGGGCAGCGGTTTTGCCACTGTTGTGGTACTAATAGCCGAATTGAGGATGTGAACTCCTGTTATTGGAGCCCAGCCTATAATGATATTCGTGCTGAAGAGGGATTCGATCATCAACAGAGCATGTTGGAGGCCATGCGATGGGAACCCGCACGTCTGGCGAGGATATTGGAACGTATGTGGGCTCACCGAAACTCAATTATCCCCTTTAGACGCTAGTCTGGGCTGATGTGCGGTGTTTTCCTTTCCTCCGTGGCTTTTAGGCGTTGTAGTATTACCCTTGGGCCCTCGGCTCATATGGGTAGTATTACAGGTATATACCTGTAAGACATATATGGGGTCACGCACCCCCAACCATGTAACACACACACACACGCATAACATGTCTTCGTCGCAATTAAGCCCGTGAAATTTTACGGGTGCTGTGCATTAGTTGTTGCTCCATAGGTAAATGCCAAAGGAGAAGATACCCCCTCTAGCGGAAATAACAAACAAACTGAGCACCAAAACAGCGCAACGCGACGGGCCGCTAGAGGGACAAAGGACGCGAGAGCTGCCAGACAGGCACACACAGCGACACGAAATAAAGCTCCCCAAGCAAAACGCCTCAACGACCTCCAAACGATACTCCAGCAGCAAGGACGGCGGACACGCCATCTCTGAACAACAAAAACAAGATAAGCTAACCAGCTTAATGCGCGCAATAAATGACGGCCCTGAGGACACGGGCCGTTGCGAAACAGTTAGTCTAACAGTTACGCATTGGGCCTTACGCCCAACTAACCCAGCTTACTTACGCAAGCTCGCATTACGGCTTGGGGGATTACGGGTCAAGACCTTGTGATTACGGGTAATGTAACCTGTGGATGACTTCCAGCACGGGCAACCAACAAAATGTCACCTATGTTCTTCCTTATAAAAGGAATGCTTTGGCATTCCTTTTTAAGCATGTTTACAAATTTTCTTGGCCGGTAATTACATGTGAAGACCACGTGATTACGGTAAACATGAATTTATGGGTGAAAACCTTTCCCGGAGTGAGATATCCGGATATCAAGAAGGTCCAGTCACAGATAGATGCCACGGTGGATGAACAAAATGCATGAACAAACGAAAAGGATTTGGACTACCATACTGATACGATTCTTTGGTGACACGCAATTGGTATGGCGTCCCCAAATGCATAGCAGTGGAAAAAGGTCTTAGGCAAAATGTTATGGGCATCACCAAACTGGCTGTCACAAATATGTCGTACACCGTGTTAACGGTATCGACCAACAGTAAAAGCCCTCCAGAAGACGCTGTTGACTTATAGTTAACTTCGTCTTTTACCCCTAAGTTGATCGGACAAGAACTTTAGCTTACAGGCCCATCCTCAGAATGCACGCTCAGAATGGCGCCTAAACAGCTTCAGCTTACTAGCCTTTTACCCAAGCTCGACACCAATGCGCTGTTCGGACTTTGATAGCAGCTTGGCGGTAGTAGACGCTGAAGCGTAAGCGCGCGAAGCGTGAGCACGCCCGCGGGACGCCCTGGAGCCGTCACCAAAAGTGTATCACAACTGTAGATTTTTCTCGTGACCGTCCCCAAAATTGCATATCATCAAAATAATTTCAGCGTTAATTTTGGGCCTTCCGTGGCGAATCGTGGCAGTACGGCACTTACAAGGAGAAGCTCTTGCTTTCAAGATGCTGTGTGACGTGAACAAAGTGAGTCATGCTTGCACAAATTAAGTGTGTGCGTGTAATTGCCAGCCTGTCAAGCTGTTGAGCTTCCCACAGGCTCTTAAATAAAAGATTGTTGGTGTGGCTACCTCAGACAACCCCACAGTGTCTACTGATAGCATATGCTGGGTTTCTGCAGATGCAGATGAAGCTGTGGTGGACTACTCTGGTGAGTTCCTGAAAATCATGCTATCTTGGTATGTATTTGTCTTAGTTGCATTTGAACATATATATATATATATCTTGATCCAGACCATGTTTATAGCCGAAAACCCCAAATCCTCCTCTACAGGCTCCATGCCTAACTCCAGTGGAGATGCAGTAGCCTCTACAAAGACCATGCTTGTGGGCATGCATACTGGTACAGTCTTGGGATTTGCTGGATACACTGTTTCAGCATGACCAGGCAGTGATGGCAAGGACCCGAGGCCCTACTGCAGCAATAGAGTGGGAGAAGTGGGCAGCTGAGTGTCCAGTCATTAGCCAAAAGGCTGCTATGGGGTCAAAGCAGAAGAAGGTGCATGAGGCAAGCCTGAGTGCTGACCTTGAGCAAAAGATCGAGCAGTGCATTTTGAATATTCCAGAGAAAGAGTGCTTGAGTGCATTTGCACCCACACATACACTGATATGGCTCTTTAG